CAAATAAGATCCCTTTAGAAGTGATAATACTACTTGATGTAATTGCAAAATCTAACCCAAACCCCTATGTTGAGCGCACGATTTGTCATTGTGGACTCAGAGAGTGCTGCGCCCCAGCGGCCGGAGTTAGAAGAAGCGCTGCCGCTCAGGCCTCATTGGGATAACTTCCAGCATTTCAGAGCTAGAAGTCGATATGCTTAAAACAATGGCAGTTTGAGACTCATAAACAATACAAAGCTCAAAATGTCGGCGGACATGGCACGAACGACATGATGTGAAAGGCAATGGACATGTCGATGGACAATTAGCGAACAGTCCTACGGACCAGTCCTGTGGAACGGTCCGTAGACATTTAGGTGGTCATAGGTAACAGACAGATCTATGGACAGACGAGCCGTGGTGGACAGCTGCGGAAACATGCCATGGACGTTTCAAACGACGGACTGAAGTTATGAATGCAGACTGAGCCGAGGACAGATCATGGACTAGTCCTCGGACAGACTGATGGACACAATAGACACGGTGGACAGTTGGGGACTGCACAAGGACAGCCACGGACATATGCGGACCATTCCATGTCCATCGGCTCATCAGGGTACTTGGTTGCACAAGCGTCGCGCAAAGATACTTGGTTTCCCACTGGAAAAGTAGACTCTTTTGATCCACCAACTGGCCTGTCAAACGTGCCTGGGGCCTGGGTGTGTCAAGATTATAGACTTCATGTGAAAGATATTGCCGAAAAGGCGATTGTACCGCATTTTATCCTTCCGCACCCCTGAAGAAAATAAGTTAAGGTAAGCGATAAAGTGTTAGCTCGATCCATAGCAGCAACCCACAGAACTAATCTATTTGACCTTACGCGAGTGGCATGCCAACTTAGATCAGGTGGACTAGGCCCGAATCGGAATGTGGTTAGAAACTCGAAATCGTGGCTCAGCGGATTCTTCTTTCCTTTGATTGACTGACACGTCGTAAAACCTTGTCGTCCGTCGGTCTTACCCAACATCTTTGTCAACCGTTGATCCCAGAAATATAATCTGCATATCTGGTTGGTGACCCGTGTTGGCTGCGGCGAGGGATGTTCTAACGAAAGCCATGAACTGCAACAGGTCCATTGCAGACAAAGGACCGGTTCGGTTCTGCTTGTACTGCTGCTCATCTGCCTGGCGGCTCTTCCAGTCGTATACGCAGAGTGGAGGTCTGCACTGGAACTGAATTGCTGGAATGTCGACGTGGTCATGTAGACGTTCGCCCACTGGAAGGTCCTGTAGTACTGGAATCCTCGCTTCCTGAAATTAAATGAACTTTTGGGTTACCATGTGCTATTTTTTTCCAATCTGGTGTTATGTGCACAGAAACGAATTTGAGACTTTGCGACGAGAGTCGAGGAGCTCTTTCTCGAGAGGAACAATCGAGGCTCACTTATCTGCCTAACCGCGTTGCCAGCACTGATTCATACCTCATAGTAAAATGGGAAGCAGTAATCGTTATCATCATTTTTAAAACGAGGAAAAGATGTCGTAGCCATTTCTTCGCCTCTAAGTGTTTACGTGGTCATTAACACTTTTGTAGGTGAGGAAAAGAGCAAGGGGCCGTTCACAAATTACGTCACGCAAATTTCAGGCGGTTTTGACTCCCCCCCTCCCCCACGTCACGCGGCTAACCTAACCTTCTAATGCTTTCAGGATAGGACCGTCACGCGGGCAGAGACCCCCTCCCCCCGGCAGATGCGTGACGTAATTTGTGAACGGCCCCTAATCTCCTAAGCCAGGTACCTGAAACTCGCGGCTCTCGATCCACCCGTGGCTTGTCCGCCCGGGCGCAAGGCTCTCGTCGAGCCACACTGACAAACATATTTTCTTGCCGCAACTGAAATCTACTTGGTGGAAGAATATTTTTTCTTGTTTGTTTCTTAAAAATCTTGCGTCAACATTATTTTTATCTCAAGAATATTTAGTCTTGGTTGTATTGCCAAAGTTAAAAATTGCCGCCGGAGACAGCCTTGAACTCTGTCTCACTGTCTCACTGGGATATGGCAGTAGTGATTACTGATAGATCGATTCTCCTTAAAGCAAGTTACGCCTTCAATTTGAACAGCTGGGATTCGAACCCTGCTCAGGGTTGCCAGGAGCCGAGCGAGTCAAGTCGCCCGAGCCGAGCGCGAAGTGCGCCCGAGTGCGCCCGGAGCCGTTCGGCCAATGAAATCGCCCGAAAACGCCCGAAAACGCCCGGGGTATTCAAAAATCGCCCGGCTGGCGCCCGGGATTTTCCGGGAATTCCAGCTTGTCTAAGGGTGTTTTGTCAC